GTGGTGAGCCTGTAGTACCAGCTACTCGGGAGGCTGAGCTAAGAGAATCACCTAAACCCAGGAATTGGAAGCTGCTGTGAGCTGTGTATGCTGCCATAGCACTGTATCAAGGGCAATAAAGTAAGACTCTGTCTCTAAAAAAAAAAAACAAAACAAAAAACTTGTGAAATGCAATAAAAGTGGCACCAACAGGAAAAATTTATAGGCTGGGTGTGGTGGCTCAACAGTGTAATCCTAGCACTTTGGGAGGCCAAGGTGGAAAAAAAAAAAAGAAGAAGAAAAGACAAATATAGGGGGTGTTCATAAAGTTTGTGTGCAATTTTATATTTAAATTAAGAAATAAGAGCAGGCAAGGAGCAGTGGCTTATTATAATTCTAGCACTTTGAGAAGCTTGAAGCTTGAAGACAGGAATGGGAGACTAGCCTAAGACACACAGTGAGATCCTGCCTCTACAAAAAAATAGAAAAATTATAGTCAGGTGGGATGATGTACTCCTGTAGTCACAACTACTGGGGAGGCTGAGGCAGGAGACTGAGTCTAAGAGTTTAAATTTGTAGTGGGTCATGTTGGTGTCACTGCATTCTAGCCTGGGCAATAGAGTAAGACAAAAAATAAAACAAAACAAACAAAAAGAGCAGAAATCAATTAAATAGAAAATGTTAAAAGAGAAACAAAGCCCAAATTGCTGTTCCTTGAAAAGTGTGTTGTTGTTATCTTTGAAAAGACTAATAAAATAAACTTCTGGTGACAGACTGACCCAAAATAAGTAGAGAAAAAGCACATACATGTTGTTAAGTGGAAAGGGTAATAAGAATAAAGATGTTAGAGAGAAGAGAGAAAACTTTACTGCTCAAACAGGACAAAAGAGATGCTTGGCCAGGGGGCAGTGGCTCATACCTGTAATCCTTGCCCTCTGGGAGGCCGATGTGGGATGACTGCCTAAGCTCAGGAGTTCAAGACTAGCCTAAGCAAGTATGAGACCCCCATCTCTACCAAAAATAGAAAGACTAGCTGGGTGTTGTGGCAGGCACCTATAATCCTAGCACTCTGGGAGGCCAAGACTAGCCTGAGCAAGAGCAAGACCCTGTCTCTACTAGAAATGGAAAAACTACCTGGGCATTGTGGCAGGCACCTGTAGTCCCAGCTACTCGGGTAGAGTGAGGCAAGAGGAACTCTTAAGCCTAAGAGTTTGAGGTCTCTGTGAGCTATGACTCTAGGGCATTCAACCCAGGGTGACAGATGAGATTCTGTCTCACAAAAAAAAAAAAAAGAAAGAAGAGAAAGAGATGCTATCATCAATTCATAACCTATTTATGTTCACATTTAGATTTTTAAAACCTGCCAAAGATTTAACTGTAAAACAATGAAGCAAAAAAGCACAATAACAGGTCACTTGACTGCGGTGTCACAATGCACTTGTGACAAAGCAATCTAGTAATACTAAGAGTCCTCATAGATGAAGAGATACCTGGTAACATTTCAATTTACCCTTTTAATTTTAAGATACAACAATAATATGGAAATCCATATAAAATATATAGCTCCATGTATCTTTATAAGGCAAAATACCTTCTAACCACCATACAGGTCAAAAAATAGTTTTGTCAGTTACCCCACAAGCTTCTCCATGTGTCCCACCTTAATCCTCCAGAAGTAATCATTACATATCTTTTCTATCAAAGTGACTTTATCAGGACTCTTATCTGTGGTGCTGGCTATCACACAAAATATGCATGGACTTTCTTTGGCTAATTAGCTTTTTTAGGGTTTGTGCATTTACTGTGGGGCCCAAGATAATCTTTATTTTTCCAATATGTGGCTTTTCTAGCCAGGAAAGAAAAAAGGTTTGACACTCCTGGGCTAGAGGTTCTTTGTGGTTTCACACACAAGTGTGCATCCCTAGACATAACAGCTTAACCATTCCACTTTTATTTTGTCCTTTAATGTCAAATTCTCAGACTGTTTGACTTAGAGAGTATCCCTGAGACTGTATTTTGCCTATTGCACACTTAGGGTGCAGCTCAACCAAACTACTCCTCTGGTCCCTGTACTTCTGGCAAGCTGATTTGATAACTTGGTTCAAATCTTTGGCAAGACTTAGGTAGTGTTTTGTTCTTTCATCACAAAGTATAGAACAACTGGTTTTTGCTGTTTAAAAAAAAATACACAGGCTGGGCACAATGGCTCATGCCTATAATCCTAGCACTCTGGGAGAGGAAGGAGGGAGAACTGCTTGAGCTCAGAGACTGGAGACTAGCTTGAGCAAGAGTGAGACTCATCTCTACTAAAAATAGAAAAACTAGCCGGGATGGGAATGGAGACAGGCTCCTTGTAGTTCCACCTACTCAGGGGACTGAGGCAAGAGGGTCTCTTGCCCCAAGAGTTTGAGGTCGCTGTGAGTTATGGTGCCACAGCAGGGGCAACAGAGTGAAACACTGTCTCAAAAAAAAAAAAAAAAAAAAAAGGATAGTGTAAATGCTCAATCATTTTATTTACCCAGTTTTCAAGACAATATCAGCTATTCTGCAGAAGGTGACAAATTAGGGTTCACTGAAAAAAAAATTTCTATGAAATCATGAATTTAAGCCTATTTCATAGGCTTTAACTCACAGCAATTTTCCCCTCAAATCATTCAGTCTTTCACCAGTGGGAACCAAAACTGGCTTCTGTATCCTTGTGTTCAGGCTCTAGCATTCACTGATGGTTTTTTGCTACATGAGATACTAATACATTCCAGGACCATCTTAATATTTCCTGTCCAATACCTGGAAACAGACATTTCTCAAGAAACCCAGTCCACTAAACAGAAGTACTCTAAGACCAAAATCTGGGAAAAGGAATTAATCTATGAGTTAATCATTGTTTCTATGCCTTTCCAGTAGACAGAACTAGATAAAAACATATTTATTTATAGATAACACACAATGTGAGTTCATAAAAATTTGAATGCAAATTCAGGACAGGGATTTTACTTTCTGAAGTTCATACTCCATTAGATTCTTCAAAAGCTCATGAGAATAATGACTTTTGAAATCCTGCATTATAGACAATTGATGCCCTTTTTTTGAAGGTCCCTTTTCCTAGACATACATCTTTTTTTTCTTTTTTTTGGAGACAAAGTTTAAGTCGCCCTTGGTAGAGTGCCGTGGCATCACAGTTTACAGCAACCTCAAACTCTTGGGCTTAAGAGAGTCTCTTGCTTCAGCCTCCCAAGAAGCTGGGACTACAGGCACTGGCCACAACACCCGGCTATTTTTTAGTTGGAGTTGTCATTTGTTGTTTAGCAGTCCTGGGCTGGGCTTGAAACTGTCAGCCTCCTTGTATGTGGCTGGTGCCCTCCTCACTGAGCTATGGGCACCGAGCCTCCCTGTTCCTCTTGTTTCCATTCCAGGAATTCTCAAGTGGAATCTTGTCTGAAGGGAACCCTGCTGAACCAGGTGGAGAGTTCATGGGGAACAGACTGCCATACCTCCTTTATTTAGACCTATCTTCTATTACACTCTGCAAAATCCCTAGCAATGTGGCTACTCAAATCAGCCCATTCACACTGCAGTTATTACCTATTGGCTATTCTGAGGTTTTCTTGTTCTGGGTCCATCATGTATCAAACAGTATATAATAAATACTGACATAAAAAATTACACAGTGCCGTCAAAAAATTTTAAAAGAGAGACAAAATAAAGAGATGATTATAGGATGGAATCATAAAGGCTTCATGAACAAACCTGAGCAAGAGCAAGACCCTGTCTCTACTAAAAATAGAAAAAAAAAAAAAAATAGCCGAACTGCGGTTATTTTTTGGTGGCCACTTGTAATCACAACTACTTAGAAGACTGAGGCAAGAATATCACTCATGCCAAGAGTTTAAGGTTGCTGTGAGCTATGACAATGCCACAGTACTCTATGCAGGGTGACAAAGTTTCACTGTCTCAAGAAAATAAATAAAAATAAAGGCTTTATGATACCCATAGTTTTAAAATCGTATGGTTTCAGAAAACCTGAAACAATTTAAGGGACACAGTTTAGAAGAAACACAAAAATGTACTCTAAGGTTCAAAAAACATATGTTAGAAATAACATGATAAGCATACAGAATTTTTGGTGGGGTTTTAAAATTCAGATCCTTTTTTTGGTTTCATTTCAGATCTTAGTAGACTAAAACAAAGAAACCATGATCTCTTCTGATGAGAATAGAAAGACCAGGGTGGCGCCTGTGGCTCAAGGAGTAGGGTGCTGGCCCCATATACCGGGGTTGCAGGTTCAAGCCTAACCCTGGCCAAAACTGCAAAACAAACAACCAAACAAACAAAAAACCGCAATGAGAATAGAAAGACCAGAGGTTTTAGAATAGAGGAAAAGGGCTGTGTTGGTCCATGGGCCATTTAACTGAGCTATGTGGCATTAGTCATGGGCAATAAGAGGAGGGGACACTCTCACAAAGGAGTCACACCGTGAGTCACATTTTGGAAGTTAAGGACAGCAGGAACTGGGGGGGGGGGGGGGAGATGAAAAAATGGAAACAAAAGAACCAATGGGAAGCTAACTGTAATGTTAGACACAAGGAGATAAAGTAGGACCACTAGGACAGTATGTTACAGACAAGATGCTAAAGGAGGGGAAATATAAAGATAACTAAGATCTTCAGTTCCAGAGAAGAGAGGAAGAACAAACAAGAGGGAAAGAAGAATGTACAAATACTTTCTCTTTAAGTAGGAGTTTTCCAAAAACCAACAAAATTCTGGTAATTATTAAGGTTGGCTAACTGGGTTCACAGGAGTTCACTGCGCTAATCTTTCTATTTCTGAGAACATTAAAAATGTCCACAATTAAAGATTTAAAAAATTTTCTGAAAAGTACAGATATGAATGTTCCTCCTTATATCTTCTCTGTTTTTCTTAATCGTTACTTTTTAAATAAATATATTTTGTAAAAATTCACTGGAAAACATTTAATGTCTCACAAAAAATAGTGTAATAGAAAGTGAAATATCATTTATTACCTTGATTTTTTTCTATATTATCTCCTTTTGTTTCTTCTTCTTTAATGGGGGGACTTATTCTAGGGGTCCTACTTTGGCCCTGGACCACTTCTGCTAACAAATCTTCCTGAGAAGTTCGAGTTCTGGGAGCAACTGGAAGTGTCTGTTTCTGTGGGACTTTAACATAAAAGCAAAAAAAGAAGGAAATAGAAATGTAGCAACACATCAAAATTCAATAGTGAACATGTCATATTAAACATAAACTCCTCCTTGGGATTATCTTAGAATATATAAGGAGTTCAAAATAGTCCATACATGCCACTCATTTTTTTCTCTAGAACATTTGTGAGATAGCTGACTTACTACCTATGTGTGTTTAAGCCACATGTCATGAATACAATACATCATAATACAATAAAAAAATAGCATATGTTGTATTCATTTTTATCCAAATGCAGCTTAGCCTCTGCTTTATGATCTTTTATCAATTTCAAATTGAAATTTAGGCTGAGTATAGAGGCTCATGTGTGTAATCCCAGCACTCTGGGAGGCCAAAGCAGGTGGATCACTTGAACTCAAGATCAGCCTAAAGAAGATTGAGACCCCTTGTCTCTAAAAATGCTCGAGCATTGTGGTGAGTGCCTATAGTCCCAACTACTTGAGAGGCTGAGATAAGAGGATTACCTGAGCCCAGGAGATTGAGGTTGCTGTGAGCTATGACACCATTACACTCTACCCGGGGTGACAAAGTGAGACTGTCTCCCCCCCCCAAAAAAAAATTGTAATTCAAATAACCTACGTAAAGAGAAAAGTTTCAATACTATTTCTTAAAATTTAAGGTTTATAAAAACAAAGTATTTCAAGATCATGAAAATTCTCTGAATTTCTCATCATTCTAGGCTATTAATAATGCTGATAAACCAGAAAAGGGAATATAAATAAACTATTAGGTTTAGTATTGGCCTTTGTCTGATAATCCTTATTCTATATGTCAAAACCTGCTTAATTTTTAAGTTTAAATTAGGCATGAGCAAGGAAAAGCAAGAGGACACATGAGTATCAGGATTGAAAATTTATGGCTGACAGTTTACTTCCACTCTAGGAAAGGGATCACAAAAAGAGATGCAAGAGAGAATGGACAAGCAGAGCAATGTGGTAAGAGCATTCATAAAATCCATTGCAAAAATTTAAAAATCTTTTCAGAATAGGTAATTACCATCAACTTAACAGAAGTTTTACACACTGGCTAGAGCAGGTCAGGCAAAGTACATAATTTGTACACACACAACACAACTCTTTCAGTCTGCATTTCAGAATGAACTTTCCTTAAGATCAGCTTAGAGCTGATTCTTCTCTTTTGTTTTAAAAACATGTAATTTCTTTACATTCTCTCATAAAATGATTTATTTAGTACTTCCACTGGGACTAGGGTAGGAACATCACAAAAGAGGTAATTCTCTATCTTATTCCATTCTGTTTTGTTCCACTGAAAACAATCTCTTTATGAACAAATTTCTATAACTTCAACCACTTATTATCCAATTTTACTTTTTTTTGAAAGGGTCTCTTGGGCCAGGCACAGTGGCTCATGCCTATATTCCTAGCATTCTGGGAGGCAAAGGCAGGTGAATTGCTGGAGCTTAGAGTTAAAGACCAGCCTGATCAAGAGTGAAACTGTATCTCCACTAAAAACAGAAAAATCACCAGGTGTTGTGGTGGGCCCCAGTAGTCTCAGCTACTTGGGAGACTGAGGCAAGAGAATCACTTAAGCCCAAGAATTTTAGGTTGCTGCAAGCTACAAAAACGCCACAATACTCTACCCAGGGCAACAGAGTGATAGTCTGTCTCAAAAACAAAGAAAGACAGGTCTCACTCTGTCACCTAGGATAGATCTCGTAGGTGGCACAATCATTGTCTGCTATTACCTCAAACTCCTAGGCTAGAGCAATCCTTGTGCGTCAGTCTCCTGAGTAGCTGAAACAACCGACAGGTACAACCATACTTGGTTAACTTCTGAATTTTTTTTCTTTTGTTGAGATAAAGTCTATGTTGCCTAGTCTGGTCTTGAACTCCTGGCCTCATGGGATCCCTTCACCTCAGACTTCCAAAGTGCTGGGATTACAGGTGTGAGCCATTTTGCCTGGCTCCAGTTTTACTCCTTTTTATGTATTATAAATTCTTACCTAACATCAAATCTAATGTTATGAATATGAAAGTTCCACTTTTATCAAGACTCTCTTTAAAATTTTTTTTTTTTTTTGAGACAGAGCCTCAAGCTCTCCCCCTGGGTAGCGTGCCATGGCATTACAGCTCACAGCAACCTCCAACTCCTGGGCTCAAGCGAGTCTCCTGCCT